AGGCTCAGGCAATCCACTCACCTCAGCCTCCCAAAGGTGCGGGATTACAGGCTGAGCCACCGAGCCTGACTCACTATGCTATTTTAAATAATTTATTTTCTTAAGCCTTGAGAATTCACATTCCTTACTGAGTACCCTTTACAAATGCCCGTACTTTCTTAATCTCCTTTAATAAAGAGTAATATATATCAAAACTCCTATCATTTATAAATCTAAATAAAATATTTATATTTTTATACATAATTATATTGTACTGAGAAAATTTATTATAGAATTTAAAAATTATATTACAGTAGGTTTAATTTTGTATGTTTGGCATTACTTTTAATATACAGCACACTCAGAGACATTATCCTAAGAGTCACTTTCATAATTTTAAATATTATTTTCATAGGAATCTAACATATTAAAATATCATACAAATAAAGATTGTATTCACAAGAACAGAAAAATGTTTTTAAAAACATACTTAAAAATGAAAGCAAGTCATACTCTTATTACAAAACAAAAAGGTCAGTTATTCAAAAAGTAAATAAGGACATGACACATTGAGGCTCTATCATAATTAGTCTTGCCTCTCTTTTCTAAACTACAGGATGATTTGATTCTTTTGATTGCTAAAAGATGTAAATTATAAGAACTAAGAGAAAAGGTAGTCAAAGGGATTTACATGACTATTTTCCTTATCAAAAACAATGACAAACAACATGGAGATATTATCCACACCATTAGCTCTCTTTCATTAGAGAGGAATCTTCAGTCTTTCAGTGACCTTCTGCCCACAAGCTGGCTTGTTTTACTCACTCAGTCATTGGATGGCAAACAAAAGAGGCTTTTTTCAGTGACCAGCCACTGAGATCCTGCAGGAAATATATGAGAAACATTCTAGCATGTGGTAATACTCAAATAATTTACTTTTGCTTTATTGAAGATACAAATAAGGTTTTCCAGGATCTATCAAGACATACATTCCATAATCTATGAAGACATACCTTTCATGAACCTCAAGCAAATAGGATTTCAAAATAAAGGTGATTTTAAAAGGGGAAATGAAAGTGTTCTTTATTCTCTTCCCACAGTAAAAATAAGAAACTGATGGTTTTAAGAGTGATACCTGCACAAGACTCTTACCCATTTTTAAGGAGCATCATCATGGTCTCTTAGTACAATCTGTCCCCTTGAAAATAAAAATCTTGACCAAGATTGCATACAGAAATAGATAGCTAGAGACTGACCGTTCTCAAAAATCTCAGACATCATCTTTTTATGATTAGAATATGCTAAAACTTAAGTCAGGTTTAGGTAATCTGGTAGATGATTGAATTTTTACTAAGACCACCATTGAAATCTTAAGTTAAAAGAAAATATAGCTCAGTGTTTGTCAACTAATAAATAAAATATAGAAACTCAGTAAATAATAAAGAAATTCAAAGGGGGGGTAGGGAGGGCAAAGACTGGGGGGAGAAAGAAACCCAAAACTCTGACCATAAAATAACAATAATTAATAATCTAGGTGTTCTTATATTTAAAGAAATATAAGTAAATAATGCTTGAAATGAGAAAATAAAATAATATATATTTTTACATTGATGTACTTATTTGGATACATACTGTGAAAATGAGCAGGCAGACAAGATAGCAAAGGAATACCACTTTACTGATCAAGTAGATGCTAAGTGAATAATTTGAACATTTTTTTGAGGCCTGTCAAAATATAGCCAGTAAAGTTAAGAGAAACAACTGACCAGCAGCAGATGTAGTCTGAACATGGAGTATGTAGATGGCATCTCAGTGTCCTTGACCATAATCTTAAGTCTATAACTGGCTAGATTGCTGTAACTGAGAAACCTAGTGGTACACACTTCCCAGGCTTAGGTTTACATGCTAAAAAGACTGAGACTCAGGTCTGAGTAACTGATAGGACATAAAGGACCATTCAGACCTACTATACTTTCACTGCCACCACCTGAAACCTCTTGCTACCACCTGGAACATCACCATCTGGAACATTTTTGCATTAAATA